GAGCAGGTCTCTCTCTGGGCACGATCTGCCTCACAGAGAGGCTGAGCTTTCGTGACCGACTCATCCACGTACGCAGATCACCTGCAGGCCCAGGGAGAGATGCAGACTGTTTTTAAGCACTTTTCAAGCACTCTTGGAGCCACAACTGATTAGTGAGTCATGCAAAGACGTCATTGTGAATATATTTCTTGCTCTTCTGCTTTGTGAAATGCAAAAGCACACGAGAAAACCGTGAGTTCAAACACCTGAATTGGGTCCAGGCCACTGTTTCTTCCAGTACCTTTGCATTTCTAGTTTCTGAAAGGACCAACTTCTCTCCTAATGACAAACAAAAGACTGGCTGCACCAAGTTAGAGCAGAGGTCCGCCTTGCCCAACACCCCCCAAGATACCAACCAACAACAGACACCTTTGGAAGAACATAAAGACAAGGCAAGGATATTACAACAGACCCCAGAATACTCCATCATCTTCCAGCCATTTGTGATTCGGGGATTTCCTGAACTCAAAGGGATGTCTGTGTATTTAAAGGATCTTCCATGAATTTGTCCAATCATTTTGGAGCCTATGCAAATTTCAGCAACAACATCCCAGGGCAAAGATTTCACAGCTTAGATAAGCTCCATGACAAAAAGACCTTATTTGTTCTGAGCCTCCTATCTTGCAATTTATTTGACTTTCTCTACTGCAAAACCTCATCAGACCAACCCTTGAAAAAGAAAGATGATCTGAGTTTTTTCAGTTATGATTTGAAACAAATAACCTTGCTTACAAGATCAGAGACCCAACGGTCCAAAGAAATTACTCTGATGGACAACCCCTTTTCCCCAAAAAAAATAATACAGAACAACATGTTCCCGCAGGTTGAAGTAGAAAAGGAGGAAGCTGGGACTCGAGCTCCTCCGAGGCATCCTCATACGTGTTGAACTAGACAGAGGACTAGCTATGTCTGAGGTGGTAGGTGCAAGATATCTTCCTCCTCTCTTTCTGTTTCAGGTTTCAGCGAGGTGGTAGCCCGAATCTAGAGAGGCTGTTGAAATACTTCCTTGTGCAGTCTAAATATCTCCAACACCATCCAACTTAAGTCAAGACACTTGGCTACACATACTGTGAATGCAATTCTTTCCAGGACTTCTGTCGTACAGTTGAAAAAATAATCTCCATTAGAAAGCACGTCCATGGCCTTAGCTTGCATCTCAGAGAGATTCGAGTTTTGGAGCCAGAAGTGTTTTCTAGAGATGCCGCTATGTTCAAAGCCCTAGCAGCTGCACCTGACAAACCATAGCCAGCTTGAGAGCACTTCTCAATCTCTCTCACTGTACTAAAAAAAAAACCTTTGTATTTTCTTCCTCAGGAAAACAGCAGCCCATATTTTTCATTCACAGTTTTGGAAGAAAAAAAAAAAAAAGTGATCCTTCTTTGAAGCAGAGAAACTCACACTGTATTTGGGATCCTCTTTGAAGCTTCACCTTTTGTGCCTGTTAAAACCAAGTATTTTGATATGAAGAACTGGGGTGCCAGCCTCTCCCTTTCTTCCTGTATCCCTGTAATAAATATCCTGAGTAATACTCATAGATTTCCTCCTCACACATTTTCATTTTTCTTTTGCCACTTCCATTTCATTTTACAAATCTGAGAGAAGGTTTTGGACACAGCAAGGAAAGAAAACAAAACAAAACAAAAATAGGAGAGTAAGTGGAAATGCCAAAATGGAAAAATCAGACTTGGGAATTTTGTTTTATGAAATGGGAAACCATTTCATCTCCAGCCCAACCAAACTTCCATTTTTTTCCTGCTAACGGACACACAAGGCGTGTTGTTTCTGACCTGAGATGCGCCAATGCTAGCTACCTTGGTAGACTTGCGAACTGCAGTTCACGGATCTGGACCGGAGAGAACATTATGATAGTCTAATTTGACCTCGTCTGTACTGCAGGCCATAGCACTTCCTCTCATAATTCCTACAGCACGTGCATACTTTCTGTCTGGACTAAAATGTATTTTTCAAAAACCATCTATCCTAATTTAAAGGCCTTAAGTGGTGGCAAATCTAACACACGCTTAGGCTTGCAGCTTGAGGGTTACCTAGAAGACAACCTTCACGCAAAACCCGTTCAGCAGTCTGTACTCCCTTGTCCTCAGAAGCAGAGGATGATCTCTCCCTGAAGCCGAGATCCAAACTGAACTTGCCACTGGATTCTCAAACACTGACTAAAAATCACCCCCTGGAACTTGGTACCTTGATCTTGAGGAATCAAGACAGGATGACCTGGTGCTCCCCACTCTCTCCTCTCTAGATTCTAGGCGTTCCCATGCCTGCCTGGACAGGCAGGAGGAAAGAGGAGCAATTTTTCTCCTGCCAGATCCTAGAAAACCATGGGGCTGCTCAGAAGGAGAGGGAACCCAGACAAAGCCATTTCCTTGGAGAGTAAGTCCTCCAGGGAAATGCTTTAAAAGGGCATCCTTAACAATTGCTTTTCAGACAGTCCCAATCCAATTCCAGAAGAACTACTGGCCCAAATGACTTAGAAAAGATTTTTTCAGAGACACTTTCCAAGATGAGGATGACACAACTGAAGCTTCACCACTTCTCACTTAAAGATGCCATAAATCGAGGAGATGAAGACCACAGAGTCAGGTGCCAAGAGTACCTCGGAAGAAGGGATCCTAGGAGACCTCTGAAAGCTAGGAGGCCCCAGAGTATCATAAACAAACACCAAAAGAGCCTGTGTACCAAAACCACGTTCTCCATGAGTCACATCTGAAATTGAAGGCAACAGGCTTTTCTTAGCCCTAGAAACCACAGAGCAGCGCATTCAGAACTCAGAACCCCAGAGCTGATGGCCACGGAGGCTTTCCTCTGAAACACGCTTTCCCACTGATCCTGCGCATCAGCCATATGGAGCTACCAACTGGAGAGAATTTCTCGGGAAACAGTGCTCCTAGCCTTCGGTGAACTATTTGAGGCTTAGCCTAGAAGATGGTTACAGGCCAGGAGAGATGCTTTATACAGGAGCTCTGAGGAGTCCCTCCTCAGCTGAAATGGCCAGATGAGTCAGAAAACTGCCCCAAAACCGGAGAGTCAATCTGACCAGCCCTGACATCTCCCCATGGAAACTTCCCAGAGCCAAGAGGCCAGCTGCATCGGCCTCATGCAGATTTTGAGCGCCGGATGTTGTCCGTGATGCTGGTTCTTTGGAAATGAATCGCAGTGAGCTATGCAGAACTCTCCCTCCTGCCCAGTCCCAAGAAAACAATCTGACAAAACCAGTTCTCGCCAGTCTCCTGACGTCAGGACACCTTTCAGCATGTGACCATTAAACAAGAGGAACATAACAACATAATACCCCAAAACAACTGGAAAGTACTTCTCAGACTAGAGCAACTGTAACTGCTTGTAAACCGAGTGCTACATGACATGCTTCTGCTTCAAATTAACAGAGGTACAGTTAAGGTTAAAAGGGGATTACGCCCAAGACATTTTGTTTTCCTATCAAACGCATCCATCAGCAGCGCAGAAGCACACGCAAGTCAAACTAACAACCTTCAGACTACACAGACACACAGACATCACCACCTTTAGTGGTGACATCTTCAGTGACACCATGTAAAAGCTCTTGGGGACACAATAGAGTTTGCTTATTTCTAACAGAAAATAAAACCACACAGAGCTAGCAGCTAGCAAACATGGGGATATCTGACCACTTTTGCTATTGCCACTTTCTTTTAAGACTGAACAGAAATACAAAGGAGTCCCACTTTGCAGTCACGATAGCATACCAGGACACGCAGATTTGACTTCAGAAGCTCAGCTACTGAGCAAACACTTGTTCCAAACTTTCTGCCCCAAAGTTCCAACAATATGGCAAAACTGGTTACAAAACTCCCTTTCCTTTCGCCGATTAACGTGCTTTAACATAACATCACCCTTTTGCAGGATCTTTCAGAAGAAAATTAATACCAAAGCCTTCATCCCGCATATTCTACAGTTCCCGTGGTACTTTCCTCCACATCCATGATGCTATCAACAGCGTCCTGGCCAGATTACTGCCCAGCAGACTGTGTTCTGCCCCCCCCAGCCCGGCAGGAAGGTCCTAACAGCTCCTGCCCCAAACAGCAAACCCATGCGCAACACCACCGAACAACAGTGAAACAGTCACAATGCCCTGCCCCAGAGGAGACGGCATTCAGCATTTGGGTACAATGATTCCCTTCAGTTCCTAATCCCATTAAAAATCTTGGGATCCTTCAGTATAATACTACTGAGATTGCTCCTGGGGATGCTCACAACCTCCTGACAGGGGACTGAAGGGCCAAGACTGAGCCCCCTTCTATCCTCCAATTCGGTCCCGACTTGCAATTTGCACACCTGACTTTCACAGACCACGGCACAAGTGACTTCAATCCACAGAAGCCCACCCTCCCCTGAGCCACCAGCTGGCACAGAAGAGCCAGACCACCACAAGGAACAGCCGTAGTGCCAATTTTTCTTCAAACATCCAAAACCAACATCACCACTTGCCCAAGACTCTGCAGGAGAAGTTTCAGGACCAACAGGCTTATTTAAATAAAGGATTACCGAAATATCAATCACAAGGCTTAGAGTTAGAAACAGGCCAAAATCACAGGTCTGATGCTGCAGCCGCTCTGTTAGGAGTGTCTACAAACCTTCCTCCAGCGTTTAAACAAACTGCAAATCTGCAGGACCAAAATGCCGTAAGAGGCCTCTGGATAGGGAAAAAATGGAAAACCATTTCCCTTAGCCCAGGTCCTACCGACTCCAGGGAAGAAGCACAAACTCTTTGTTTCAAATCAACACAGGGCAGGAGTCACTGGCTGTAGCCCCTACAAAGACATCACAGCCACCCAACGTCTGTAACTGACCTTCAATCAACTTAACCCCATGCAGAAGACTCGCAGGCTCCTGATCCCGCCTCCACAGAAAACTCCTTTTTGCCCCAGAAGTAACAGCTTTGATCCAACACCACTCAAGAGACTTACCTTCCCAAACTGCTCGAAATACTGTTTCACATCCTCCACAGTAGTGTTCACGGACAGACCACCCACAAATATCTTCTTCGTTCGGGTCACCATCTGGAAAAGGGAAGGACAGGAATTCACCGAATAAACCCAGAGCGAGCAGAGAACGAGACTCAAAAGGCCACTAACTCCCCTCCGCTGCCGGGAAGCGCCTGTCCCCTTGCCACAGCCGAGCTTCCACCTTCTCGAGGCCCCCCAGCCAAACGCGGCCAGCGAGTCTGCCCCATGCCGGACCCCAAGGCACGCTCTCACCCTTGCACCGCCTCATCATGCTTGCCAGCACCCAACCTCCTCCTTGGACAGCACGGTTATCAGCCTCTCCCCTCGCTAACCTGCTGCTACTCTCTTGGCACCTTCACACCACCCCGAAGGCGTGGGACACGGACGGTCCCCGCCCCAGCCCTCCAGCTCTTACCGCAGCCCTGCCACTTTGCACAGCCGACCTCCTCCAGGCTCGCCCAGAGATGCCTGCTCTGCTTCCCAGAGCGGAAAGACGGGCAGGAGGCCTGCCAGCACAGGTAGGCTCCCCACGCTTTGCCCTCCTAGCTCGCAAATTGCAAAGTATCCGGCCTTGCATGGAGTAAGCCTCATTTCGCACCCATTCCCCGGTCACTTAAATGGAGCCCAGTCAACTCCCAGTTAAATCTCTTTTGCCTTTGCAAGAAGGCAAGGAGAATACCCCTCTGCCACTTGTCACTCATGCAACTGGGACAAGGAAGAAAACTAACTACCCTGAGAGGGGCCATCGCTGCCAGTCTGAGGCACACCGACATCCTTTGAACTGGCTCTCCAGCTGCATCCTCCCCTTAGCTGCTTGGCTACACCCCTGCTCTCAGAGGAACACATGGTCCTAATTACCCCACGGAGCATAGGGCTAATCCGCAGCAATTCCCTGGCTTGGAGAGCAGCCCGTTCTAACACTAAAGCACCTTCTGTCACCAAACTGCTTAATGGAATTAACCCAATTCCTACCATGTGCTTCCTGGCTCCAGTTACTCGGGATACCTGCTCACCAATTGTTCTCAGTGCCTGATCCCCCTTACTTCCCTCCCACACCAGTCTCCTCTTCCCTCTCTGCTTCTCAACACTGCTTCTCCCCAGCTCTTTCTCCCGTAACAGCACTTGGAATTGAGACTCTGGATTTTAAAACTCCCATCCAAGAGCAAAGTTAAAGGGAGACCCAAAGTCTAAAGGCAGTCTCCAGCCTGCTGCTGGCTCCTCAGTTAAAAGTTTCTAGCTGCACGCCTGGAAAAAGTTCCAGCAACTGCACATTTTGATGTCAGAGCCTCTTGTAGATAAAGTCCAACACCAAACTCCTTCTACCTTTTCCAGTGCTGAAGCACACAAGGGCATTTCACAAAATGAAATCCTTCTCCCCCTCTCTGCCATACACCTATTCGTACACACACACGTGCATACACACAACCCTCTTTCCACCTGTATCACATCGCGGCATGGAGCTGTTCTGTATCTCCTTAGGCCTGAAACTTCCAGACACTGGCTGCAACTCAAAAAGACCAAGTTCACCCTGGGCAGCACTTATTTCACCAGCTCTAACTAGCGCATCCTAAAGTGTGCACCCCCCTTTACTGAGGGGCCTCTCGGTTCCTCCAGTGCCACGCAAACCCCCAGCGCTGCGCTGCAAGCCGACAGGAGCGTACCGCAGTGCAGCGCATCACACTGGCGGTGCAGCTCAGCAGCTCCCGCTCCAGGTGAGTCCTGAGCAAACCCCAGGGAGCGACTCCACTGCGTGCACTGGCAACCTTGCATGGAGGGACAAGATTCAGCACCACGAATTGACGGTTGGACTCGATGATCTTAGAGGTCTTTTCCAACCTTAACGATTCTATGATTAATGATTCTATGAATTTCACCCTTTGGAGTGGCAAGGGCTGCCCACAGTGCTTACCTTGGGCTGTGCTCGGCGGGGGAACGCTACCTTCGGGTCAATCTGAAAGAGATGTGGGGAAGAACAGGTGAACACGCTTTTGCTGCCTATTTACAGATGCAGGGTTTCCTCCATGCGCATGGCTGTCTCTGCGCACATGGCACCTTGCTAAAAACCCAAAGAATCTACCTGAGGTGCATAAAACGAAGCTGGCTGCAGACATCTTTCCCTCTCGGTAAGGTGTAATCCACGGAGACTACAAGTCCCAGCATGCAGTAGTCTGTCTCCGGCTGAGCACTGGCCAGACGCACCCAAGAGCCCATCACATGCTGGGATTAACAGGCTGGGCTGCACCCTCCCATTCGGCCTGCCCCTGGGTGCCCTGCATCACCGGCCTCATATTAAAAGTGCTTGCTTTTGCCTTTTTGCTCTCCCCCTTCACTCTACCTACAAGTACAGAGCTCACCTGGGTAGTAACAGGACAGAAAAGAGGCAGTGCACGAAAAGCCAAACATTTCATCCCACAAAACACAGGGTGAAGAATAAAAGAGCAGACAGGACGACACAAATTAAACCAAGGAGTCCAAAGCCCCCCAGGCTGCGGAGGCTGTGGCCACAGGACAGCGTGCTGCCCCTCTCCCCAGGCTGCGCTGCACACAATGACGCGATGCCTCCCCTCCACAGGCTGAGCCCTCCATTGTGCCTGTTCAGCTTCTCTATAAACCTGCTGCCGGCCGAAGCTGCCGGTCCCCGCGCCGCCATCCAGGTGCCGCGCGTTCTGCTGGGCTCAGCACGGATGAGCGCGTGCCTGTATTGGCGTCACACCACCACCACCACAAAAGCCGGGACAACACTAATGCAGCTGCAAGCCAAACACACACGAAGCCTCCTCTCCTCCTCAGCCACCACCTCTTTCTTTATAGCCTATTTTTACAGCAACTCCTGTAAAGTTACATCACATCGTGGATGATCCAGACCCACAAATCAGCTTACAAAGACCTGTGGTAAGGGCAGGTCTGGCTCATCCCCGCACTTGGACATGCTGCAGCTGGGAGGGCAGCCCAGAGCGTCGTCCCATCAGCCCGGCAGCTCAAACAGCTCAAAAGGAAGCCGTGTTTCTCCAGCTCCTCTTGCTGCTTTGTTCAGCTTTCCAGCCTGGCCGCCCTCCCGTCCCGCGTCCTTTCACTTGTCACACAGCCCCGAAGCTCAGCTTCCCCGCGCCCTTCCACCAGCTTCTCTCCCTGCCTTCCCCACCTCCATCCTGACTCACAGCCTACAACATAAATAAACTCAGCACGTAAGTAAACAGAGGCAAAAGTGAAGAGCACAAATAAACTCAAAAATAAACCTCCCTCCCCAAGCTCCAAGCACTGGCAGATTAGCATACCCTCCGGTGCCTCCCTGGGGCATCTGAACTGTCCCTCCCCTCCCCGCACACACACACCACCACCCCCCCACACCGCTTCCTGGCTAGTGCAGACACCCACAGCGAATTCTGAGGACAGGGGACGGCAGGAGACCAGGAGGTTGATGGCAGATAATAAGCAAAAACAATAATCTACTGTCTTTTACTTCTCAGCCAGTGTCATTCAGCTCCTGCCAAGAAGATGCTTTCATACTCAGCAATGCTAAGCTCGGCCTCATTTTCTCATTACCCTGAGTGTGATCAACTGGGCAGAGATAACGCGTCCTCCTGGCTGGAGGGAGCAGGCAGTCATTTCACAAATTCTTCTGCACAACCAGCTATTGTTGCAGGTAGAGGGAGGCTGGGGCAACCGACTGCAGGGGCAGCCCTGGGAACACGCGGAGGGGAGTGAGTTCAGTGCCGGACTCAAGTTACTCGAACTGGACTGCTCCTCGGTGGCTGGAGTCTTTCTAATTAAAGCAAAAGCGCTGGTACCTTATTCCCTCATTTCTGGTGTTAAAACAAATAGCCCTGGAGGAGTTGTGTTTCAGTGTCACCCACTGACGTAACGGATCCTTTTTACAAGCCTAGATAGAAATCTGCTAAGAGTAAGAGCATTCAGAGCTGCTCAGATTGTATCCAAAAAACAAAACCCCGGGATCAGGCTGCAGTGAGTGGAAGTCACTTGAGCACAAACCACCTCCACTTCACCCCGCAAGGCTTTGGGGATGAGGAATCCCACTGATGTCGCAGGTGTACGAGCAGGCCGGCCAAGCTCCTCAGTAACGCTCTTCAGGCCACCTACGGCACCATTTAATAGCTCAGGTCACATAACTCCTACGTTAACCCAGCGGGTATCGGTGCCCCAAAGCGGGGGGAGGGCAGGGAAGGACCTGCAAGACCTCAGGACTGGGTTTGTTCATTCATCACACCTCCACGGCTACCTTCGCTCCGTTGGTCTGCACTGCCCGAGAACCGCAGATCGCTCCCTCCGCCACAAAAGACAAACCTAGCAAAAACTAAAGTAACGGCAACAAAGAAACAACAGGGTGACCCGGCACTGCCAAGCCCACTCTTCAAGGCAGCAGCCAGCTGCAGCTTTACAAAGTCACACAAATCTTTTACCTTGAGACTGCAAAGCCAATTCTCGTACCAAGCATTTCCATAAATAACCCTGTAGGCTGCTGCTATATGGCTTACAAACAAAGAGGACTCTGAAAAGCACAAGATTTCCCCGGAGAATCGGGCCAACAGCCCTCGTTAGGGTAGGAAGAATCAGAAAACAATGAAGCAACAAGTTGGGCAGACACTGTCTATCAAATGCTGCTTGCCAGGAGACACCGAGCCTCGAGAGAAGGCTGTCCTTCCAGGACACCGGGCCTTTTCCTGCAAAGTTTCATAAAAGCCTAAATTAGGATTCAGATGAGTTTGTGTCATTTAACCCATGACTCACAGCAGAGCCTTTCAGCTCAGCAGGGAAAAGCCATACCGAGGCTCCATGTGGTACCACAAGACCGACCTCTCACCCGGCAATTACTAGGCAAAACACCCCAAAACATCTGACCCAGCTGAAAACCGTGCTAAATAAAAAATAAAAAGGAAGGGGGGAGAGGATCAAAGTTCCTAACAAAGGAAGAGCCCTGGCAGAACTGCCCCCATTCTCTCTGCCGTGCCGGCGGGGCGAGCGGAGCAGATGCAGCCGGGAATTTCAATGGCTGGCCGGTCCCCACGCGCCCTGCGCCACGAGGCCCTTCTGTTCTCCTGCAGCGCCTGCCCGTCCGCCCCTGCCCTGCCCGTCCCTCCCCACCCTCGTGGGCTGTGAGGTGGGCTGCAGAGCGGCTTCGCACAGGTGGCAGCGGCGGTTCGGGGAGAAGAATGGAGACCATGGGTTTCAGCTCGCTCCTAGCCCCAAAACACTTTCAGGATTAGTGCTACAACAGACATCCATCACTTGCCTTTCGGCTTCGCAGGTGGCAGCGGCGGTTCGGGGAGAAGAATGGAGACCATGGGTTTCAGCTCGCTCCTAGCCCCAAAACACTTTCAGGATTAGTGCTACAACAGACATCCATCACTTGCCTTTCCAAGAGGGGTCTATGCCAGCCCGCAGACTCATGACGGGACTAGCTGAGCAGACACCGTGTTTACACAGGCTAGTAAAAAAAAAGAAAGAGAAAAAAAGAAAGCCCTGGGCCCTCCTCAAAGACTTTACCGTAACCCTCCCCCAGAGCAAAACTCACTTTACATCACTCCTGAAAGGAGGAGGGCTGGGAGTCCTGGGGACCCAGCCTCGGCCAGGAAGGCTGGGGTAGGTTTAACCGGGAGCTCCCGTGGGGAGGAAGGACCTGTGCACATCAAAGGGAGCGATCCAGGCAGTTAAACAGGAACAGACATAAATCTCGCTGCAACTCACGCCGTAAACCCTAAGAAAGGGGGTCTCGCTCTCCCGCCCTCTCCCTTCTGCCAAGATAAAGGCTAGGACGCCCGAGCCACGCGCTGCAAGAAATAAAGTTGCGCGTTTGGACTCCTTGGCAGCCCATGCCCAGAGCCAGAACGTCTCCCCTCACCGTGCCACCCTCTTGCAGCCCCCACTGCTCCCCCATCCCTACCCTCACCTTCACCCCGGGGCAGCAATAAGGAAAAGGAATTCAGGGGAAGGCAAGTCACTAGAACTACAGAGAAGGGACCTCCCACTGAGGCACCTCACCCCCACCCCCCGAAACAGTCTGCCCATCTCCCGAGCACGGCAGATTTGCAAGGCAGGACCGGGCACGATATGCCACTGACCCAAGGAGCCACCGAAATCTTTCTGCTGGCCCAGCCAGGGCTCCTAATCAGCCCCGCTAGCAGAGCGAGGGCCGGAGCTGCGGCCGCTCCAAGAGGCCGGTGGTGGCCCACATGGGGGGGCCCTGGCCAC